TCACGACGCTACGGAAGCCGGCAGACCAAACCAGATGAAAGTGCGCATTCAGCGTCTGCTCTGCCGATAATGCAAGCGTAGAAGAAGAAATGTGCTGTTTACCTGTGCAAAGAAAGAAACAACGAAAGAAAAATGTCTGAGGACTTCAGTGTTGAGGAAGAGCATGAGTTCTTTGCTGAGCTGAATGTGCACTTTCGTCTGGGTTGGTCTGCCGCGGTTTCCGTAGACTCGTGAACGGGCTTTCAGGAAATCCTATACACTACTGTTTATGCTCTAAAAACATTCTAAATGACTTCGTTTCGAGTAAATTCTGGATGCTACCCTCTCAGGACACTTGGAATACATTGGACGAGCAGTATGGAGGAATATTGACACATTTTTTGTGGACTTTTATGGACCTTTCTGTCTCGGGCACCATAGACCTCCATTATTTGAATGTCAGCAGACAGCAAGAAGCCTCCCAGATCTCCAGATGCATTTGAGATATCAAAAAAGTACTCCAGAGTGTTGTTCAGCATGGGGGTGAGTAGAAAATGAAGGCTAATCATGTTTTGGGTGTACTATTCCTTTAATGGTTGCAGGCCGCCCTCAGGCCTGCAGTATTGGTTTTACTACAGTGGTAGAATTTTTTATTGCCATTACACTGTCACAAGTAGAGAGCGACGAAATTAACTCTCTGCATTTGACCCTGGGAGCAGTGTGGGGTTAAGGGTCTTTGCTCAGGGACCCAGAGTGGGAGTCCCCACATGTTATATATTATTAAGATTATGTGACGCAGATTATTTATAAGAGTAAACCTATTTTAAACCCTTAATGCCTGTTGTTACAAATATGCAAAAGACCATCAGTATTACTCAAACAGCCGTGTGAAGTCCACCGAAAAAAGCTGGAACATATACAGTCTGGAACTATAACATTTGTTAAGCACTTATTTCTGGTATTATCTGTCCTTTAGGTGTATTTGATCAATGATTGTAATAACTGTTGTCAAAAAATTGCAATATCCCCTATTTCTATTTTCTTTTTGTGCTATAGTCTAATGCTTTGTTCAGACCGTGCACAGCAAAAAGCAGCAAAAAAGCACCTGATGCTTAATTTTTTAAGCTTGTACACATTAAGGTCAGACGCACTTCAGGAGTGTCTACTAGCGTCCAGTAAAGTGTGTCCTGATGCGTACGGATGCGTCTGCTGCTCTTGTGTTCAATAGCAGAGAGCGGCTTTGCTATATTTGCTGTTATAAGTGGGTAAAAAGTTGTTTTAATATGTTTTTCATTGAGAAAATCTACCTGAAAACATCGTCTGTGCCGCTCAGACCCCCACATACCGGCCGTAGACTGTCATTTGAAATTCTCAGGGGGGTTTCTGCTACTGTTCATGGTAGCTGGGAGTAAATGTTAGCGTTTTTCAGGTATGTGGTACAAAGTGAAGGCAGCAGGATAATAAAAGCGAACATGTTTTGCCAGCAGGTTTCGACATTTTTAGTTAATTTAGGCGTTATAAACAGTAACAGAGGAGTGATCATAGCGATCTGCATCAGCAGCACTGCGTCTGTCTCCCTGCCAGCTCCCAGATCGGCTTCTCTGATTGGTTGATGGCTCAACTCAAACTGTATTTAAAAAGCACATTTAAAACAACCGGGGTTGACCAAAGCGGTGTACAGGAATAACAGTTGCAGAGCATAAGATAAAAACGGAAAACTAAAATACATAAACACAATGCAAAAAGAAAAAGTCAATGGAGATAAAATATAATAGGATAAATTTTTCATTTAAAAGAAATTTTAAAATTAAATACAATTTGAAATAAAATGTTCCTAGTTTAGACTTGATTAAAAGACAGGGAGAAGAAGTGTGTTTTTAAATCTGGTTTTAGACATGAACAGTAGCAACTGATTAGAGGATCTCAGCGTTCTGGCCGGGGCATGGATTTGGAGAAGCATTGTCAAATACTGGTGGGCTAGACCAAAACAAACAATAAAATTAAAATCGATCCTAAAAAGAACCGGGAGCCAGTGCAGCGAGGCTCGGGTGATATGTGGCCATGTTTATGTGTGCCAGTAAGAAGACGGGCAGCTGCACTTTATACAAACTGCAGACGGTCTAAAAGAAAGTGGTCCAAGCCAGCATATAAAGAATTACAGTAATCCAATCATGTATTAATAAAAGCTTGGATTACAGTCTCCAGATCTCTGTGTGGCAGGTACCCTTTCACTTTTGATAAAATTCTTACCTGGTAAAAGTTGTTTTTTACAACTGAACTAACCTGCCGATCGAATTTCAAACCGTCATCAAATATCACACCAAGATTATTTACTCATGATCGAATGTTAGGTGTAAGAGGGCCCAAGGAGCCAGGAGGAAAAACTGCTGGACTACAACCAAACATTATAATTTTTGTCTTACTTTTGTCAGGACTCCTGTCTGTGTGTTTGTGTTTCTGTGTTTGTCTCCCTTCCTCCACCAGGAGGCGCCTAGCCCTCCTTACGCACCTGCTGATGGTTTCCTCGTTAACGGAGTGTTCTTAAGCTGCTGACTGCCACTACCTCGACACCAGAGTGTTTGCCAGTTTGGGGAAGTCATCCTGCTAACTTGATTTTTCAGACCTTCTCTCCCTGGAAGGATCAACTGAGCTACAAACTGAGCTGGGGTTCAAACAGGAGGTTTGGATCCACTTTCCTCAAGAGATCGTTTGAGCTTCGCACTGAGAAAGGGATTAATCTCCACTACGACCTGTTCAAGTACCGCAGGAAATCTGAGTGGCGGTCAGTTTTCTCCGTTCACCAGTGATGGGAAGTAACGAAGTACAAATACTTCGTTACTGTACTCAAGTAGATTTTTCTGATATTTTTACTTTACTTTACTACTTATTTTTATGGCGACTTTTTACTTCTACTCCTTACATTTTTACACAAATATCTGTACTTTCTACTCCTTACATTTTTAAAAATTGGCTCGTTACTTTAGTTTTGAATCATTTCAATGGAGTTACCGTTATTATTTTTCACGTCATCAATACCAAATTCAATCTAATTGGATGGGAATCTACGTTGCATTTGACGCACCACTACAAGATGAATCGACAGATTCTGAGGTATTCATTCACGGCAAATCATTGCAGCTTGGTGGCGGTGGCGTTAGCATAGTAGCATGGACGACGAGATGATTGAAAATGAACACAACGGAGATCTAGTCCTATTGGCAGACATCCATTTAAAATGTAGGCAACGGCATGAAAAAAGTGGTTTCTACTTTTACTTTTATACTTTAAGTAAATTTACAAGCCTGTACTTTGTTACTTTTACTTGAGTAAAGAAGTTTAATCAGTACTTCCACTTTTACCAGAGTATTTTTTGACACATCTCTGCCGTTCACCTATTAAAAACTGAATTCTGGGTAAACCCTGTTCCGCCCTCCACCGAATCAGACAAACACTGGAACTACAGCATACAGACTGGAGTCAAGGATTCAACAACTTCTATGGAAACGTGAGTCAGCAACCAAATCCTCTTCTCCAAGTTCACGAGTCAAATTTCCCACTGAGCCTGAACTAACCGCTGTGTCTTCCCCTCACTTTTCAGTTCCGATTGAGCAGTGTTCAGAGCAACACTTCTTTCTGAATAATTTCTTCAATAAAACCTGTTAAACCTTTTCCCTGGTCTCCCTGTTTGGTCCTCTGCATTTAGGTCTGAACCTTAGTCTAATCATGGCAACTTTCATTCAGATTCAAAACGTTTGAGGTTATCCACATTATTTAAGCGGTCAGAAAATGACCGTATGTGGTTGTTGGATTTTGATGCTAAAGGAAAGTAGATCTGGACGTCATCAGCATAACCATGAAAAGAAAGATTATGGTTCCTGAAAATTGACCCTCATGGTAACATATAAAGAATAAAAAGAATAGGTCCAAGAATGGAGCCTTGGGGAACCCCAGAACTGAGAGGGGCTGAAGATGGTGAATTCACCTAGCTGCACAGAAAACCTCCGATCAGTCAAATAAGACTGGAACCATGAAAGCAGATCCCCTAATGCCCACCCACTGCTCAAGTCGCGCTAGGACTTGATCCACTTGAGCAGTGGTCCACAGAGTCAAAGGCAGCTGTAAGAAGAAGCAAAAGTTAAAAATTTCCACGCTACACAAGCAGAAGTTGCTGCGTCAACTCAAACGCTCAGAAGCACTCAAGACGCGTTCCAATACCTCCTGAGGCGCCTTGATGCACATAAACCATTGATTCGTAGCATAACTAACAATCACAGTTTGGTAACCATGAAAAAACACAAGCAAACTATTGTTTTATGTGCATTTCTATATAACAAGAGCTTCCCTCTGCCTGTACTCCATGTTTTTTGACCACTTGCTGAATGGAAAACTTTAGTTCATGTGGGCCAAGAGACACAGCAGAAAGGTTGAGGAGAATTTCAAAGCAGGGTTTAAAGAACCACGGGTTTAAAAAGATAAAGATTTTTTGGAGGTACAATCACGGACCAGGCCTAAACCCATCTGCGAAGCTGCAGCATGCCTTCAAAATCTAATCTACCTGAGCGTCAGCTGTTCTACATCTGGATATACATAAAACCCCTTGCAGCTACCAGAGCAGCAAAATTACTAATCCATGCCACCCTTTAATATTTTTAGGTTTAAAACCTCTTTAAAACTATTTATCAGGATACTTTGCAGTAATGCACTACTTTTTACTGATCCAACTAGACGTGTTTAGGTGTAAAAAACCCAGAATGAGTTCCAACTTCTCAACACTAACTGTCAGATAATAGAAGCAATATGCTTATTCATGTGTTTTGTGATACTAAGTGGCTAAGTCCACCTTATTATAGCTGTATTTACATATCTTTATAGGTCATTTAACATATGAGAACTTGCTCGATGATTACCCCCAAAGCAGCAATAACCTTCGACAATAAAAGGTGTAAAGTAATAAAGGCTCCTAAAAGATGAAGCATTAACCATAACAGTGATAGCACGCTAGTCCGCCGTCCGTCTTTAGCAGGGGCAAAGGTCAAGCTTTATCAGATCACGTAAATCAAGGCTTTGCAAAGGAAAGTATCAAACAAGCGTTTCCTTCAACTAAGACGCAATGATGAACGTGGTGGGTCTCTTATTTGTGCCGTTGCTCCTGGCGCCGGGGGTATTAACGCTGGAGAGGTGGGTTTTAATCATGAAAAAAATCTTTGCTTTATTTTTCATTCAATTATTATTTTTTTAGGAGCTAAATATCGGAATTTTTTCTATTAATAGATTTGTTCTTATAAAAATAGAGGAGTAGAAGTAGGTTCTAATGCATTTTGTGTTTCAAGCAACAGAGCGGAGCATGACTACTACAAGTACCATCCAATGGAGAAGGTGAGGGAACCGGGTCATTGCTTTAAATTATACTAAAACACGCATCCTATGTGATTCAATTGTTCCGCCTTACAGATCAGCACCTGGATGACTCAGATGGAGAAGGATCACCCCGATGTGGTGACCATAGTGGATTATGGGAAGACTTACGAGAACAGGACTATAAGCTTGCTGAGGGTGAAGCAGATGTTGGATGAATAAAATGCATGTGTTTAAAAAGACAGGCTGTTTAAATTTAGACGCATTTGCTCCGGTTTTCCAGATTGGTCTGAAAACTGAAGCCAAAAAAAAGGCCATCTGGATGGACTGTGGAATTCACGCTAGAGAGTGGATCGCTCCGGCCTTCTGTCAGTACTTTGTCAGACAGGTAAATAGACTGGATCTACAGAACTTGCATTGTTTTATAGTGTGTTGAAACCAAAAAGCAGAAGCTAATTCATGTAGGTTTTTTGTTTGTAAGTTTTCTGCCCTGTATTAAGCTCCTTCCATCTGTTTTCTTTGGAATCAGATTCTCCAGACATATAAAACAGATGCTAAAATGGAAGCAATGATGACGAACATGGACTTCTACATCACGCCGGTGCTCAACATAGATGGCTACATGTATTCCTGGAAGGACAACTCAGTCAGTTTCCCCGTATCTTGATGGATATTTATCCAATTAAAGTCGTCCAATCTCCTATAAAACTCTGGAGCCCCATGTGAGCGGGACATGAGAGTATATGCTATTAGGAAAACAGCACTCGAGTAGAAATGAGTTCTGGTTTAATCATTGAAGATGATTTCCGGTGATCCTCATGCCCAAACTATAGGAGACGGCAGCAAATTCAGAAAAAATGTCAAGTGGTTCATTTCTTGTGTCGCTGAATTTAGATACATCTGACTGAACACTCTGATCTGTTCAGACCCGACTGTGGAGGAAGAACAGGTCACCAGGACCTTCAGGCGGCTGCTACGGCACCGATCTCAACCGCAACTTTGATGCCAACTGGGGCAGTGAGTGTCTCATCAGCATCGTTTGATGCTGAGCTCGACGCAGTGAAACTTTTGGTTTGGTCAGTGGGGAGGAAGGGTGTTTCTTCTGATTCAGGTTTCCTCTCTCCTTATTTAGCCGTTGGGGTGTCGTCTGACTGCTCCTTTAACATCTACTGTGGGAGAGGGCCCATCTCAGAGCCCGAAGCCCAGGCCGTAACTTATTTTGTCGGAAGCCGAAAGGAAGACTTCCTGTGTTTCCTCACCATCCACTCCTACGGCCAGCTGCTCCTGGTTCCCTACGGACACCCCAACTTCACCGCCCCCAACTATGAGGAGCTGGTATTTACATTCAGACACAGTCATGCATGTTCTGTTCATGCAATACACTGTAGCTATGCAGGGCCATCTGCAGTTGGAGTTTTTGCAGCCTTATGTGCACATTTCTACAAATCGAGATGTTTTCCCACACACTCATCCAGCTTCACTCTATGCAGAGTTCATGAAAAAAAGTTTAAATGATCGTCCATGACAAATTATGTAATAAGTTTGCTCTGTAAGTAAACTGCATGCATCATAAACCCCATCTGCAAACAGCAAAGAAGAACATGCAGGACGAAGCTGGGAAAGACCTGATACACTGCAAAAATGAGTAAAAATGTCTTAAATTAAGGGTATTTCCCCTTAATTAGAGCAGGTAAATAAGATGATTTACCAATGGAATTAGTATTTTTACTCTTAAAATAAGGTATCTAGATATTATACACTTGAAATAAGACAATGCAATTGTTTTTTTCTTATTTTAAGTGTAAATTGGCTTGTTCTATCGGCAAAGTGTCTTACTTAAATCCTTAATTCAAGAAAAAATGCACTTATTTAAAGAAAAAATTACTTATTTAGATTTCATTTTTTTTTTGCAGTGTAGTAATGAATGAGAGCCTGAATAATTCAGGTAATCATTTTTAAAGAGGGAACTTTATACACATCAATCCATTTGTCTTTTTTAGCAGAGGGAAGCATTTAAGCAACAGTATTGTTGAAGTGGAATATAGTAGAAAAATGTGCTTATTTAAGTCGTTAAATTCAAATGCATTTATCAGTATATTGGTTAAAGCATGCATTTCTGTTCTTTCTGGTAGTCATAGCAACAAAAAAATCTGTTAATTGTAAAAATTATATAGAGATGTTATATGTGTTTTCAGGTATTACTTAGTAGATTGGACAAAGCCTTGATGGTTGACAAAATTAGCATCTGGATAAAGCTTACAAGCAGGGATCAGTGACTGTGGAAACTTAACCCACATCTGCAGTTTAGATCCTGTGTCCCTCAGACTCTAGTATCTGGATTTAATGTAGTTTGGTCTGAAACTATCACAGTTGCCTCCGCAGGTTTTCCTTCCACCTAATTTTCCAGTTATATGCCCAGATACAGCACTATTTGATAAGCGAAGCTCATAGCCTTATTGCAGCTGGAAAAAAGTGAAGGACTCTTTAGATTATGCAACTTAATCATTACAGTCACTTATATTTTCAAAAATCAGACGCTGCATGAGAGGGAAATTTTAATATCGCCCAAAAAGTGAAAGAAAACAACAGATATTAGCAATCTTTTCTAAACGTATCCATGTTTTCAACATGAAAACAGATCTTAAATAAAACAGCTCAGTCCTGGCTGGTCTCTGTCGAGGCCCCCTGTGACTAAAACGGGGCTGCAGCGTTTCCTTGCGTGTTCTCACACTCCCCCGCCGAAGTGTTTGTGCATGGCCAGCGCTGTCATTCTCTGGTGCCTAGCGCAGCTGAGCAAAATCTTTCTGCTCATTTTGCCATAATATGTCAGTGATAGATGAAGTCATGAATACAGATGAAGCCCTGAGAGGTTTCGGATTGGGTAAACAACTCCTTGCTATTTTCCATTAGGTTTTTCTCAATAAAGCAATGAAGAGCAGAGATCTCTGGATTGTTCTCTGATTACCTGACATAAGCTGTTGTCTGACTCTTCAGATGAATGTGGGAAAGGGTGCAGCTGAAGCCATTTGGAAAGTCCATGGGAAAAACTACACAGTAGGAACCTCCCCGGATGTATTATGTATGTTGGACATTGTTTTTGCTCCTTTAAATTACAGTTTTGAAGCATTTTATCAAAGAAACATAATCCGCTTTTCAGATGCCAACTCAGGTTCATCTAGAGACTGGGCTCGAATGCAGGACATCCCCCTGACCTTCACCTTTGAGCTGAGAGATAACGGAACGTACGGCTTTGAACTCCCCGAGGACCAGATCCAGCCGACCTGCGAGGAGGCCTACCATGGGGCTCTGCACATCATCACCTACGCCCATGACAAGACCTTTAGCGGTGCGGCAGCCGCTGCTGCAGCAACCCTTTGGACCATGCTGTTAGCGGTGGGGGTCTCCGGGGCCAACCTGCTGTGAGGAGAAAAGCTGCTCTCAAACTATAAATAGAAGGAGTTTCTTATATTTGAGCAGAACCTGTGATTATATTTCACTAAATATTTCTTTGTTTTTAAGTTTATTAGGATACAATGACTGCAAAATATATTGCATGAGTAACTAATAAATTTTTACTACACACTGAGACATGTTTTCAGTTTATTCAGGCTACATAAGAGCTGGAGAGAGCGAGAATTTCAGCAGATAACAGAAAGGCTGGCTCTGTTTGAAAGCTTTCTTTTGGAAATCCTAAAGGAATTTTGTGTTTTATTATGCTAATAATTGAATCCTAACAATGTCAGTGCTACTATCTGATGCTAAATAATTGTCTTGTCTAATAACCCTGTTTAACGGCAACTGCTTTGACACAAGATTACCCTTTTTTTTGTTCTTAAAGGGGTTGTGCCACATACTTTTTTCAGGATGGATCAAACGGTGTTATGATATTCAAGAAGTAACCCTCAGTTTATACGCCTCCAAATTGGAAAATAGCCAGCTTTGGAAAGTGAACCCATTGGGAGGGATAGGATTTGATAAACATCCCATGTTGCGTCACTCAAACAGGATTAGCTCTTTTTCGCATAAACAGATAATTTCATAGCACACATTTTGTTTCGCATTATGATTTTGGTTAAAAAAGGTACTTATAATTAATATTTTTGTCAGCCAAAAAAGTTGATTACAGGAGCAAAACACTCAAATGATGATGTAGCATTAAATACAGATCTAGCATTAAATACAGCAAATTCTAAGAAAAATTAAATCAACCATAGAAAACACTCATTTTTATACCGTACTATACTTCCTTGTATAGTGGTGAATCTGAAAAAAATATATACCATAAATCTATATGAGACAGATTTGAGTTCCAGTTTTAAGAGGACCAAGTTTCCTGTATTTAATTTTTAAGACAAAAAAAAGTAAAATTATATACATTGTTTTAAGTAGCTGGTAGCTAGCATATACAACTAGGTAATGCTAATTGGCTTAGATGTTAGCTAGCTGTAGTGTGATGATGTAAATATGAAGCCTTGGTTGTTTGCAGACTTTACCCATAAAAAAGTTTGACCTGAAGGTTTTACTGTATTTTAGCTGCCACTTGAAAAACCAGCTCTGCTAAATGCTAACATTGCCAGGGCTAACTTCAATTAGCCTAGCCACTGTCAGCCTAGGCAACTGTTAGCAACTCTAATTTAAAAAATTTGATTTTTTATTTATTTATATAAGTCATAATTGAAGCCTGATTATATGAAAAGTAAAGTTTTGGATGAGTTATACAAAAACACAGTTTTATTATTCAGGCTCAATGTGGTATTTTATGGATAGGCAGGTCTAGATAGTTTTTGTATTTGTACTTGCATATTTGTATTTACTGAAGTTAAACATTTTTATATTGAGAGTTATTTTTAAGGAAGTAAATATATTTTCCCAGTATCAGATACTTTCTAGTTTAGATGCCTGACTAATTTCATACGTCTTTAAGGGTGTTTCTATGATTTCTTCCTATTTCTCCTCTCACCATCTCCTATGCAACGCTCACAGATTATCAAACTTTGTTGTTATATTATTCCTTATTGCTTGTAACTCTCCCTAAATATATTCCTAAACTGCAGAGGTGTCAAGTAACAAAGTACAAATACTTTGTTACTATACTTAGCACTTTTTTTTTTACACTTTTTAGGTATCTGTACTTTACCCCATTACTTATTATTCTTCCTACTTCTGACTTCTACTCATTACACTTTCACACAAGTATCTGTACTTTCTATTCCTAACATTTTTTAAACAAAGGTTACTTGTTACTCTTGGCTTCGGTTTAATGTTTATGAATATTTATTTCACGTCATGTGCGCCATCCAATGCAGATCATTGGCGCCATCCACATCTAGTGAAAATTAGTGTAATTGGATGAGTCATATAACACAAACAATCATTGGTTAGCTAAAGGAAACCATGAGAAGCAAGCAGATGTTCCTCAAACTGGAAATGTGAATTGTCTCTACCATGCTACAATGTTGGATTCAGAAAAAGATGTTGAAATGTCTGAAAGGTCGGACACAGGCGAGAGCGTATCGGGAGACGGAGACCAATAAGACCTCTCTCATCCTTGGCCCTATCTCAAAGAACTTTTCAAAATAGTCTAAAAATTAAGCTTTCAATTCATATAGTGGCATCTGGCTGTTTTTTTTAAAGGTTACTTTATTCTTTTATACTTTAAGTAGTTTTTGGAGCACATACTTTTTCACTTTTACTTGAGTAAAGAGGTCAAGTTGATACTTCAACTTTTACCAGTGTTTTAAACTGCAGTATCTATACTTCTACCGTACTTAAGTAACAAAAGTGTATACTTTTAAAATCACTGCTAAACTGATTTTTTTTCCTTGCTGAAAAAAAAAACCCCAAGAAAATAAAAAATCTAATGAATATCTGAAAGCTTTCTAGTCCGTAATCACAGGATCATGACAATGACCGGACACTCACACCTTCCCCTTCATGCATTCAACAGTTTTCTGCCATCACCTGTTTTCCTTGCTAGACCTGCCTGGTGAGTTTGGCCCCACCCATTCTCTTCTTTTTTTGGCTACTCTCACCTGAGACATAGCCTTTTCCTCCTGAGAACCCACACACCACACAACCTACCTTTATATCTGGATCGCTCTCTTTTACGCTGTCCTCTGGGATCTTGGAGGAACTCGGCTAAACATCCCTGATCTTCCCTCTTCTGCCTCCGGTCGTGTTTGGCTGCATCACAATGAGTACCAAGCTGTGGACAGAGGAGCAGTTTAACTGCCCCGTGTGTCTGGATCTTCCAAATGATCCGGTCACCATACCCTGTGGACACAGCTACTGCATGGCCTGCATCAAGGACTTTTGGACAAAGGATGACCCCAAAGGGATCTACAGCTGCCCCCAGTGCCGCCAGACCTTCTGCCCAAAGCCCTCCCTGTCCAGGAACACCATGCTTGCCGAGGCCGTTGAGCAGCTCCGCAAAGGAGCCCTTAAATCAGAGGTGCGGGAGTCTATGCGTATTCGTGCTGGACCCAAACCAGCCATACCCCATGGAATAGCTCTGTGTGACATGTGCAAAGGGGAGCAGCGTGCCGCCCTGAAGAGCTGCCTGGTCTGTATGAGCTCCTTCTGCGATACCCACTTGAAGCCCCACCAGACCAAGAAGTCCCTCAAAAAGCATGAGCTCATCCCACCGACCAGCAACCTGGCGGAGAAGATCTGCGCCCAGCACAAGTACCTACAGGAGTTCTACTGTCGCCAGTGCAAGATGTTTGTCTGCTGGCTGTGCACCAGCAACCTACACAAAGAACACGAGTGTGTGTCCACCAAGGCTGAACGAATCGAGAGACAGGTGTGTAAAAGATGGCTCCTCACGGACCACTTTCCGTTATTGTTTACCTGTTTGGCCCAAATTCAGTGCAATATATGCCACTCCTTGCAAAGGTCTCTATTCCTTGGACCTTGGAAGGTCAGGGTTACTACAAGTCCACAAAAAAGGACTTGGTTAGTATTTTGTCTGCAACATCTAGAGCAGGGGTCACCAACCTTTTTAAGGCTGAGGGCTACTTCATGGCTACCGAGTCATAGGACGGGCTACCAAATCTGACCTATGAACTGGAGTAAATATCGTCCATAAAAACTCATTTTTATTCTTATTTTATTCTTTTTCTCATTTCTAATTTTCTTTTTAATATTGTCATTTTGAAATTACTGAAATATGATGAAATAGTTAACATGATGAAATAATACATAAATGATTTAAAAAAAGAGCAACAGAATAAAAAAAGAATTAAACTTAACCCACTGAGTGAGTTGTTCTGTTTTCAGAAGACCAAGAGGGCACCCCATGTGGTCCTTGAGGGCCCCTTGGTGCCCGCGGGCACCGCGTTGGTGACCCCTGATCTAGAGTCTCATATTTAATCAATGTTCAAGATTCCCACTTCAGTTAAGGCCCAGATTTGACTGAAACATTCTGATATTTCAATGTAATCTGATCTAAGCCTCTTCATAATAGCCCTGGTTGTATTTTACATGTTGACATCCCATTAGAATGTGAAAAAGAGCTCAAGTTTTAAGTCTTTTTCAGTCTCCAACTGGTTTTATCCCCATATTTCGCTCCATCTATCTCTCCATCAACTTCTTAAGACACACCTGATTCCTGATGTGAAGTTTTCTTCCTGTAAATACTATTTTGAACACAGGCATGAAAGTTCTGTCATGATTTATTTCTGACTTATGCCCCTTTTAGCCCTGAGTAAACTGAAAATATCACTAATAAAAAGATCAGTTTTATACATTTAATCAATAGCAGGATACTGTTTCAAAATAGTCAAAAGTTTATCTTTCTACTGTGTTCTTTGATGGGGTTTTAATGTAAATAAATAACATTTCAATACTTATTCGAGGCACTGAAGGTACAACACTCCAGGATACAGTATGTCTACCCTCCTGTGAGGTTTTCATTGTTTTATCTGACGGCTTTCTGCCTCATGTATTCTTCCTCTACGCCTTCTGTAAAGCAATGACTCTAAATTCATGCCTAACAACATTCCTGTCCTATTACGCTGCTTCCCATAGTCACAATGCCGTCAGTGGCACCTACAGGTGTTTCCCTTTGCTCGTCTTGTTTTTCATGCTTCTACACGGTTTCATCTTTTTTTGCAGAAAGTCCTGTTAGAAATCCAAACAAAGAACCAGCAGAGGCTGAAAGTCCGGGAGCAGGAGCTAAAAGACATGAAGAAGATGATGGAGGCGGTGAAGGTTGGTGAGGTCACGGGAAAAATGAAAGGTTTTGATTGAAGGCGGCGGTGTCAGAGCTAATTGGTGAGAGGGTCTCCATGTGTATGACAGCGTTCTGCAGACAAGGTCCACGACGAGACGGAGAGCGTTCTGAGGGAGCTGCAGCGCTCCGTGGAACGTCTGCAGGAGCTGCTGGAGGAGGTGCTGGACCAGGCCAGCCTGGAGAAGCTGAGCAAGGCCCAGGAGGTCGTCGAGCGTCTGGAGGGTGAGATTAAGGAGAGAAAGAGGAGGGACGGAGAGATGAAGGAGCTGGGGAGCTGCGAAGACAACATCTACTACCTGCAGGTAGGAATGATTGATTAAAAAGCAGCAGGTCACCAGTCACTAATGTAGACATGTCAAAATGATCAACTTTTTACTTTTATTAATCACTTTATATGTTCTCATTAAACACTGGAAAGCAAACATCAACCTAAGCAAAGGTTTTTATACCGTACCTACCAAAATATCTTTACAATACATTTACAAATCTACATAACAGAGTAATATTTTATCATTTTACACTTTTAAAGCTCTTTTAAAGTTCACCAAGAAAGGACATAACATCATTTTAGGTGATAATTTCACCATTTTTAATAATAAAACATAAACAAGCCTCACCAATATGAGAAACTAAACTTCTTTTAAGTAAAAATCATATAGTTTTACTCAGTTAACACACATTTTAATATATATGACCTATGGAAACCTGATCAGAAATATTAACTAACAATTTCCTGTATTTCTATGTAGCACTTTGGTTAAAGGTGTTTATTTTCATTATTATAGATATAAAAAAGTATAACTGTGGTATTAAGTGGTTGATTAACCAGCAGGCTGCATGACCGACACCATGACTGTAACTTTTAATCGGTTGCTTTAGAAAGGAAGGGAAATGATTTAGTTTGCACAGCATTACTGTTGGAACAGGAAACAAAAAGGATTGTTTGCTTTGCATTCAAATATTACAGCAGAGAACAACACAGATGCTTCTAGAACATGGATATCTTTGTAAAGAGACATCTATGGAGTCAGGGAGGGGTCAAAATGATTGGATATCTGCAAAACATAGTAAAAATAAAAGTTGAAATTAAATATTAAATGTTCACCTTATCTGAAAAACTGACAAAGATATGTAAAATAATAAGAATTGAAATTTTAAGTATCTTTTTATTATTTTATTTTCCTTTTTATTGCATTTTCAGATTCAAACCCATTTTTGCCAAATGCTGATATTTTTCAAATTCCTTTTTTTCTGTTTCGGATGTTTGTTTGTTTTATTTTTAATTAAGTTTTTTTAACTGCTTGTCCTGTCTTCGCTCAGACATGCGATTCGATGAGCGCTCCCCTTGAATGTGGCGACCTGGAGGATGTGAGCGTAAATTTGACTGCCACCTTTGATCCTGTTGGAGGAGCGATCCTGGCCCTCAGGAACCAGGTGGAGGATCTGTGCAATCTGGAGCTGGGGAAGATCGCCAACCAAGGTGCGTCAGCAGAACCTTTCTGGTTTTGGCTTCATGTTGGTCATTTTCTTTCATCTCATAACTTTTATTCCATCTAATCTCTTTCAGTCAATAGCACCCAACTTTATACTCTGAAGAACTGTAAGTATTAAGCATTGCTTTTTTTTTTCGCCATCAGATGATCGGTCAACATATTTAGCCTTTTTCCTTAACGAGAATGTGTCTGATCTATTTTTAGCCGGCCGGGCTGGAGTGAAAGATGGATTTGCTAAATGTGAGTTTTCTCTAAATTAACTCAAAGGGAACCATATAAATAATACTTACAAGAACTTCTCCAATTCTTTCTAGTGTTTAATATCAACTCAAACAACCGTTCTGCATCTCCATTGGGTCTTCAGAGTAAAGGCCGAAAAGGACAAGGTACTGCAACCCCTATTCTTTATTTGCTTTTAGAAAAAAAGTCTTAACGTGCTTTCCATGTCCAACAGGCCCAGGAGCCCTCGATGTGAGGAGCAGGGACACACCCCGAGGTGAGGTTTCTAAAAGAGAGCTTTTTTATCTTTAAAGAAAAGAAAGAAAAATGAGTACAAAAATCGTTTTTTGTTGCAGACAGAGGAAATACAAACTCTCCCGGACAGGGGAACAGACGGAGAAGAGAGGAGAGAGAGACTGGTAAGTGGGCTTTAAAGAATCCAGCACTTTATATTCAGCCCCATTTACTCTGGAGAACTTAAATAAAAGCCCCTCCAAAGGTCAAGACTGGTAGGGTTTTAATCAGAAAGCATGTTAGAGGGTGTGAATACTTTTTTTAAGGCCACTTTAACTGATTTCTTCACCTTTGACCTTAAAACAGAGCGAGAGGCCCAGCCCAGTCCCAGCAGGGCTCGGTCTCTGTGGAGCAGGTCCAGTCAGATCTCAGTCGCCTCAGCTGCAGCTCCGACTTCAATCCCAGCCGCTCAGGTTCCTGTACCGGTTCCTGTACCCGTTCCAGCTCCAGTTCCAGCTCCAGCTCCAGCATCCAGCAATGGTGCGTTTCCATTGCTGTCTTCTTTCGCCACCATGTGGATATAAAAGGAGGTTGCAGAAATAAAACCCTGCAACCTCCATTTGGTAAAAGAAATCATTCTCATTAAATATTTATCTCTTCTAATGTTTGCAGCTTTCAGTCGGATGGCGTCCATCAATGCGTCCATCAACAGCATATTTCGTTCACGCCGGCGAGGCACCAACCAGGCCACCCCTGTTAATAATGCAGGAGGGAACCCATGTAAGGCCCCTATGCTTCCTCCATAGCCGTGTCAAGGAAAAAAAAAATCTCAAAATTTGATAAAAACTGAGGAGTCTACATCTTATTTTTCCTCTAACCTGTCTTTGTTTCCTCAGGGGCGATGGACACTGTGTCTGAAACACCAACAGAGAGTAAGATGGCCGCTCTTTATCAGTTGTCTGTAATAAATTCCCAGCTTTTAGTGAGTTTCTGATCGTTGTTTCTCTTTGGACAGTTAACCCAGGTCTGTTCTTGGACACCCCTCTGCCGGACGCCATGACTCAAGCTCCAGCTTTCCCTGCCTGTGAGTCCACGCTGTTCTTTACATTTCATTTCAACCTTACATTTCATTTCTCAGCGAAGGATAAACTCTAAGATCTGCTCATGGGCTGTGATTTTTCCTAGTGAGAGAAATCAACCTTGACAGCATTCAGGCACCAGAACCCAGAACCAGGGAGGAGTTCCTTCAGTGTGAGTGGACAAAGAATTACAAACTAAAACTTCTTTTTAATTGTTTAAATTTAATATTTTTTTTCTCTATCCTGTAGTTTCTGTGAGCCTGACCCTTGACCCCAACACGGCTCACAAGCGGTTGGTTCTCTCTGAAAGCAACACTAAGGCAACCTTGCAAGGACCGACACAGCAATACTCTGACAACCCGCAGCGCTTCGACGGCTGGACCCAAGTGATGTGCCAGAGCCCGCTGAACTCCCAGCGCTCCTACTGGGAGGTGGAGTGGAGGGGCAGGGGCTCCTCTATGGGGGTGGCCTACGGGGCACTGAGCAGGAAGGGCACAGACGCCCGCTCCGGCCTCGGTTACAACGCCCAGTCGTGGACCCTGGAGCTGTCCGACACCTGCTGCTTGGCCATGCACGACAACGAGAAGAGGGACATTCTGGTTACCTACTCGCCCCGTCTGGGCATCTACGTGGATCTCTCTACGGGAATGCTGTCCTTCTACAGCGTGGCGGACAACATGACGCACCTCCACAGCTTCCGGGCCAACTTCACCCAGCCGCTTTATCCCACCTTTGGAGTAGGGAGCGGGGTCGGGGTTGGTCTGGACTTCGCCCTTGGACAGTTTTCAGCTAGCTCCGACAGCATTAAGATCTGTCCTCTATGAGGTTGCAGTGCCACAGCTCCTTGATGAGGACATTTAAACTGGGAGGTAAATTATCCAGTGTGGTTCCATGATTTCTTTCTGGACTCCAATGCACCCACGACTTCCCCCTAAATAACAGCCAGAAATCTTCATGTATTTTATTGATTTTTTTCTGTGACAAATCAATTGAAACTGGTGCATAATTGCAAAGTGGAAATACTTTTTAAACATGTTTGGGGGATATTAATTATCTGCTTTGCATTTTTACAGAACAGTAATGTTACTCATTCTTCTTTGCAAAACTTTTCTAGCTCAGATTGGATATATGAACAAACCTGGCAACTAATTTTCAACTGGACTGACTTTTTTACTTTGACTAGACCATTCCAATACATGAATATACTTCGATCCAAACCTGCAGGAAAGTTAAACTCTGCCCTAGTCTGAAATCTTTTGCTGTTAAGATGCGTCTGTTCTTCCCCGGGAAGTGTCCCAAACTTCCCGCAGCATGTTGGGGCCACCTCCATGTTCCATGTCAGGAATGTTTTAAAACGTTTCTTACTTTGCAGTAACTTAAAGGATTTCACCTTATTTAGCTCCTCCCACCTGCCTGCAAATCGCATGACATTGCCACCTAAATTATCATGTTCATAATAAATAAGTTGGACTGTATCCTCTTGGAAAATGCTTCTGTTCAATCAAATTTATATTAAAAAAAACAGACATTTTAATTTCAGTAACTTTATTTTACAAAAAAAAAGGCAATAACATAAAATCCTGATTACAGAAGGGAAACAAGGAAGTTCTGCGTTATCTTTGTCCACCAAAAAGCCATGAAGCTGAGCTTTCTGTTCGACAAGAAAAACAGGATATGACAACAACAACAAATCTAAAAGATGCAATCAATCAAAGGTTCTCCATTTTAGCAGAAAGTCCCTTTTCCTTTCCACAACCCTTCATTGAAACATGTGCAAGGCAGAATATTAACTTCTCACAAAAATAAAGTTTATGTTCACATGGATTCCCTTTAGGTGGAAAAAAATGCAACATAAATAAAATCTTTAGCTTATTTATTAACAAACACGTTTATTAATTTCTGGATTTAAATACTTTAAAACATCAGTCAGTAAAGGTTAGCCATGAACAGAAGGTTAAGGTTTTGGGATGTTTACTTAGGGGGCATTGCTTATTTCAAGTACTTTATAGATGTGAAATACCCCCATCTGCTGGTCAATGTTTGTACTGCATTTTCCCTTAACCCGCAGAACTGATCAGAAAAGCGTTTTTCTCCTTCCTCACAGTCTGAAGCTGACCTGTCTAATGAAGAGATAAAATATTTTCTGTTTAGTTCAAAACTGATCAGCTGAACCAACTAAGTGCAAACTATACAACAAACTTTCATGAAAACAGTGCTTGCCTTTAATTAAGGCCTCCTATTCTTAAAAATATACAAAACACAAAGACCTGAAGAAACCCTCCTCGATCCCTTTTGTTTTTGTCCATCTTATTTCAGGCCTTGCTTTAACCAAGACCCGCCTGTCTGCTGACAGATGCATGCTGGGACATGTAGGCAATGTTTTTCATGCAGACACTTTTGCCACAGCACATGGACGGTAAATTTATGGTATGTTAATATTAAAAATCAATCAAACACTGTTATGTTTACAGGCATGGCTGGACTACAAAATCAACCTGGCAGTATTATGTTATGCTGTAAGTCGTCTAAATAGTGTTTTAATGTAATTAAAGCATGTTGGATCACTCCTCCACTGACGTCGAACGCTTAAATTTACAGGAGATGGGATTTAAGTTTACAAGGATGCAAGCAGGAATGATACTGTTCAATATTTCTGCTCACCGACCACAGAACAAGCCCTTAGAAAAGCGAGACTCTGGATGCTCAGATGAAAACTTACTCTGTCGACACTTTACCAACCTTCTAACAATTCTCTCTTCCTCAAAAACTCTCTCATCCTTTCTGATCGACTTCCACAAACCCTCAAACACTTACCTGACCACTTCCTCCCCACTGGGTTTCTATGACTTTCTAAATGTAAAAATCCCAGATTTTTTCTACGCTCAACCTTCCAGAGTTTAATTTTAAAATCTAAAATATTTCAAATGAATTTAGGGAAGATGTTATTACTGCGGAAAGACGCTAAATATGAGCTGGAATAGAAACTATGAAGGAAGGAATTGAAAAAAACGGAGGGAAATAAGGACAAGGAAATGGGGAAAATACGTCAGAAGATGGAAAGAAACGCTTGACAGAAATGGGGTAGGACACAAGGAGGAAAGAAATGAGAAAAGGAAGGACATAGAGGAGGAGGTAAGGAATAGTATACAATAAAAAGGAAGACATCTCTTATTTGTGCAGCAAACTTACATCTAGTTCCACCTGAACTTCCAGAGCATCACAAGAGAACTACTGAAATGCAAACTCAATTTAAGAGTCAAGCAAAGGTCGAGCTTAACGGCAGATGAGTACAAGTTGTGCTTCAAATCAACCTCATTAAAATTAAGGACTGTTCCTCCTCCTCCTTCTACTCTCTTCAAAGCTAGAGAGGAAAAGAGTTGGGATTGAGGTGTAAACCTAGAGGATTATGGTATGAATGCTTTTAGTGTTTTGAACTTCTCGGAGGCAGAGAGATGGAGGCGAGATGTCGCCGTCGTTCTTTAGGGTTTCCCCATGGTGCTGGAGGGATAGCTAGGGATGTCGGATGAGGAGGCGCGGTAGGATTAGCGGCTGATTTACTGCCTACTCTGGCACCAATCATCGCTGGGAGACTCTGGTTACGCCTGAGGCCGTCCATCAAGCTTCCCCCGCCTGCTGACACAAAAGTGGCAGACTCTTGGTGCGGAGCTGCAGCGTCGGACTCTGAACCGTGCAGCACCTTAGCGACGCCCAAACGACGGAGTCTTTCTACCAGACCGACGCTAACCAGGTTGGCCTTGTCTTGGCCTGGCTTAGAGGATAGAGTAGCGGTTTCCTGGGATGGGCTTGGCAGGTCCGGGTGTGGGGCTCGGCCCAGCTTCAAACCGTACACGTCTTGGAGAAAGAGCTCAGCAGGACGGGAGGCTAGAAAATTATCAGGCGGGTGTTGGCGAGACTCTGAAGGCACGGGGGAGGGTGTGGGGGACTGGGAGGGGGAATTTGGAGGTGTGCCAGGCATGAGTCGTAACAGGGGTTGCCGTGGAGCACATCTTGGCGACAGAGTGGGGGGATCAGTGGAAACTTGTGCAGAGATACCTCTCTCCAGAAGCAGTTTGGCCAGCCCGCCGGGGGGGGCTGGAAGGCGTCGAGGAGGGAAAGAGTCTCCCAAACTCAGTCTGCAGGGAGTCACAGGGGTACTTGGACCGGTTCTCATGGAGCTGGGCGTATTGGCAAGAAGGGACGACTGGGAACTTAGGAAACCAAAACAAAAAGGTAGAGTCACCATCTTTAAAACAGTTACAAAGGTCAACATCCATCTAATCTTTGGAGAACTCAACATGGCCTCTTAATCTAAAAACGAATCTTATCTTTTCCTTCATGCATTAAAGTCGACTTACCTCGGTGTGACCTGTGTTATGTCAGTAGGGTGGAGAATACGACAGGTTGTAAAGGTGTAGGTAGAGAATGTGGAGCTCTCACTCTTCCCTGGGTTTTGGACTAGACACAAAACAAAGCTTGTTAATACATCTCCAAGTTATTATCCAGTATTTATGGATTTAGAAATTTAAACAAATACTTTACCACGAGAAGATGATATAGAGGTGGAAGTTCTAATTTGTGATTGGACTGCTGTTGTAGAAGCTTCCGGGATGGGGTGAGGCGACTGATTGGAATTTCTTGCCTGATTGGGTGTCAAACATAGGTCCAACTGGACAGAGGAGGAAGTAGAAGGCGCTCCGGGTGACGTTGGTCGGATGGAGGGTAAAAGCGCACTGGTGAGAGGTGCAACGGGGTGGTTTCTGTTCTCGGGCGTGGATGAAGAGCGCACATTGAAGGTTATTCCGCCCTCCTCCTCTTCCCCGTCGAGCTCCTCTTTACTCTTCTCAGTTGTTCCTTTCTCAAGGACTGCAATCCCTCGGTGCTCTTCGCCCTCCTCATCCTCTTCCATGTCCGACAGCCGAAACACGGCATCCTGAGCCAGAGGCCGGAATCCTTTGGTCACAACTCCAGGGTGTGGGTCTAAGATGGTGGCTAGGTGAGGTTTGGCGAGCTGCTGCCAGTGATGGAGCGTCAGGGAACCTACAGATGTTCACAATATTAAGAAAACAATAGTTTTCATTCACTCATTCAGTTCAGATGTGTACCAAACTAAAAAATACTATTACAAAGCCTATCAAACCTCTAACTATATTAAAAGTTGTAAAAATATTTTTTCGCAAATGCATAAAATTGTATTAAATATTACAACAACGCATTGCATTAAAAAAAAACTACATTCTTTGCTATGAAACTAGGCTCAGCTGCATCCTGATTACTTCGACCTGATTAGGGACCAGCTGTGCACAATTTGGTTGATTGAGACATCTTTGAAACTAACTTCTTCCTTTTCTTTTCCAAATCCTGTTCAGAGTACATATCAGGGTAAAATAAAAGCAGGAAATATGGCTGCAAGAGCAGATATTTGCTTGCCTTGCTAGCAAAACATACAAAACTAAGGAAGAAATGGAAGAAAAGATAAAAAAAATAAACAGGCTTGTCAAGTTTTCAAACATATACTAAAGGTGAGTTCTGGCTGTAATGCTGCCAAAGGTGAGCAAAAGCCAAAAATACATAATTATTTCAATCTTATAAAAGGTTTTATTTTGTTGTTTTAAAAAAAAGGGAAATGAGTTTAATACATTTAGACTAAAGCTTTATTGTAAAACAAGAAAATATAAAGAAATGCTAACATTAACACACTTACTTGTAAAGGCTAGCTTAAACAATAAGACAAAAGCCTTGAATATTATTTAAAATATAGAAAACCCATTTATTTTTTCAGCACTAAACACTTTTTACTGTAATGTAAACCTGTACTTCACCCTTGGCAGTTTTCTTCAGATTAGCAATTAGCACTTGCAAGTCTTGCAATTAAGCTAACATAATCCAGCTAATTTTAAACTAATATAGACTTTTAGATTATAAATACAATATTTTAGGAACTAATTAGTCTTCTAAAACTAAACTCTAAATAAAGTCAGTCAAACTATGTCTAGCTAACAGTTATAAATAATGTCTGCGTTACAAAGACACTAAAGTTTTTACTAAAAGCTAAATATTGAGCTTTTTATCATATATTCTGCACCGTAGGTCTTACACTTGAGACTAATTAATTTTAAGATAGGAAGTAAAACTAAAATGAGCTTAAAACTAATTTGCCTCGAAACAAATTAGAAAAATTATCCCCTTCAATTTTCATCAGAAATTATTGGGCAACAGATTTTAGATTTAATTTGTAAATATAAGACAATAGGAACATTTTGAAGCAGCATGATTGTTTACAACACAGTGATGGGATTATTTTAGCATCTTGCAATGTTTTCTACTTTAATCTTAATGATGAAGGCATTAAAGGCTCAACAGAAACTGCAGACGGCTATTAATCAAGTTAACTTGAATTGTTCAACAGTTCAGAGCTGCATATTACATCAATAGACATATTGGTGTTTATAATGCTAATTTTATAAATAAATTTTTT